GTCTCAGAAAGATCCTATTAGTTATCCTGATCCTTTAGGAACCCACATATGGCACTGCTTTCCTTGGTAACCTCAGCTTGTGGGTGGGCAAAGTGACAAGATTCTGATCCCCACGTGCTTTGGGCACAGAGTAGAGGAAGTGACTGAGAAAGCTGCTTGGTGTTTCCATTGCACCCAGCAGGGAACCTGTCCTTGCAGTGGGGCTGCTGCCATCATCCCATCCCACATAACTTCCTCTCGGTGTTTGCTGAGCCTTGCCAAGCACAAGGATGGACTCCTGGGCTTTGCTGTGACACTGCTGATAGGGATGAGGCTATGTAGATATGCAAGTAGGTGGAAACTCTCTAATACATCATAATAGTAATAATAATAATGTACATTTGTACTGCCTTGCAGCTTTCGCTGGAACTTCTGCCCACGCACCAGCCTACTTGGTTCACAATGCAGCGTGCATGCTAGACAATTAGTGGCTGATAATGAAAAATGTCATGGGAACCAGCAGGAAAATCATAGCTTACTCCAAATATATAATGAAATGTAATTAGCACAGACAGCAAAACAGACAATTTATGGTTTCTTTTATTTTTCGTAATTAAAAAGTACCAGTAAACATTCCTTTTTCAGGAAGTTTGATATCAAATGAAATTAAAGAGCTATTGTCTGGAATAGTATTTTATGCAGAATTTAACCCTTGCATGGCAGAATGGATTAAGGTCTTGCTACTTGCAGGTTCTCCAAGTGAATCTACTGTGGAGCTTCTTGTGTTCATTCCCCTAGCCCTGGTCCATCAGGAGAGGCCAGCTCTGGTGCCAGGATTGCTGTGAAACCAGCTACAAGCCCAAAACCCAGCTGAATTCAATAGATGTAACGCTATGGCCAGCACTTTTCTCTTGTTCTTCTGGACAGATTCTCCCTGAAGTCATCTTGTAGTGTGGATGTGGCTTTGAGGAGAGGTTGGAGCAGGAACAGCATTACAACACCTTGTGCTCACTATGTCCTCTCTCAGATTTCTTCTGCTGACCTCACCTCCATTTCTGGTCCCTTTTCTACCTCAGGGCCCTTCACTCTGCACCTCTGTTTTGTTCTAGAGCAATGGGCAAAGAACGTGTGGCCTCAACCTGCCAGGAGCACAAACACCATTTCTTGCCTTGTGCTCTCAACCAGAGCAGCAGAATGAGAGGACTCACTGTGGCACTGCACAAAGGTGTCCATGGAAGTAATTTCTTGACTTAAAAATGGGTAAATGGGGGAGGATCCTGGCTGAATGTCCCAAAGCATGTGGTGGTCAGCACCTCCCAGGGTTTGGACCAAGAGCTGAATGCCTTATTGTGTCACATTTTGTCACCCCAGGCACAGTCTGTCATGCATTGGTGCGAGGATGGCCATTTTACCTGTGAAAATTCCAGCAATGTGACACATTACAGCAATGTTGAAGCACAGAATTGTGTGGAAATGTGTGTGTGTGTGCATTTCTGCTACTTTTCCTCCTCAGCACCACTCAGACACAGACACAGGTATCACAAGCCAGAGCAGAGCTCTGCTCCATATCAGTTTTACAGCCATTTCCCAGGCACAGCCTTAGTTGGGAGTTTCAAATCTGGAGAGGAAGCCCCTCAGCTGAGGGCTGTGAGGTCTCATCAGGACTGTAGGCAGGTGCAGCATGTTTTTCTCTTGATGATGGAGAAGCAAATTGCCAGCATATTCCCCCCTCCAGAGGGATTTGAGCTTCCAGCTGGAGCCAGCTGCAGTGTGAGGCAGTGCTCAGGTGCAAATCCAGCCCTCCCTCACAGACATTGTGGCACAAATTCCTGGTATGTGACATGAATATTGTGGCTGAGAAAAGAGGAGATTTTTGCAAAAAGCCTCGGGACAGGATACATGAGCTGTTTTGCCTTGTGCTGTAGAAGTCCCAGTCACCTCCTTGCATGTGGACAGACTGATTTTGGGAGGGATGGGAGAGCTGCTTGGTGCCCATATTGGAGGGAGGTGAGGGATCTGAGGCCTTGTTGGTCTTTTCCATGCAGGAAGAGTCTGGGCAGTCCCTTCTTGCCTATGTTCCCAACTCTCCCTCTCTGTGGACAGTTTTTAGTACTTGGCATTGAAAACTTCTTCCTGGAAGCTGATGCTGGACCTTTGGTGAGCTCTGATAGGTGGTGCCTTTTATATTTTTGCCCCAAGCAGTAGGGGAAGCCAGAAGAGTTGTTCCAAGTCCTGTGTCACTGAGCTACTACTTTCTTGTTCCTCTGTATCTGACCTGGAAACAAGAATTAGAAGGGCAATAACTCTGTTGTGCCAGTCTGAGTTACTTCAGAGCAAATATATGGCAGGTGATCATTTGTCTCCAAGCTTTCCTTCAGGATGCCTGTCTAGTCAAAGATCTGATTTATCTTCTGTGGTTTTGCCAGGTACTTGAAGGTCTGTTGGGGAAAAGGAGCACTTTGAGGATTTTCTCTAGATGAGGCTTGTGTAGCATTTCAGAGCAGTGTTGAATAATTTATATTTAAAAATACTGGTGGCTTACTTGTGCCCTGTCTGAGAAGGGGAAACTCTGGTGTTTCCTAGGGCTCACTGAGATTTTTATGAAATAAAATAAATGGTAACAGTGGTATCCTTGCTGCCCACACCCTCTTGTGTGCTGAGAGGTGGGGATCCCATGTGTTTTATATAAGAGGTAGAGCATTATTCTTTTTCCTGCTTATTCTATGCTCAAGGACAGGGCAAGTCCATGATGGGATGCAGCCAGGCTTTCATGTATATTCCGGGGTTATGGCTACTTTGATTTATACCTATTTCCTTTGATTTATCCTTGGCTCCAGCAGCCATTTAATGGTGACTTCAGCAGCTGAAAATAGCCAGAGTCAATGTTTCACTCAGCCACTCCCACCTCCTGCTCCCTGGGTTGAGATGTGAGGGGAAAATGGGTCTGAGATGTGCTGTAGCTATGATATTTTCTGAAAAATCCTTTCCTTGGGATTTTTTCCTCCTGTGAAGTTGAGAGGCCTCAGGAACAAAATGTAAACATTGATTATCTGCTGCTGTGGAATGCATCAGGTGCATCTGTGATTGGTCTCATGTGGTTGTTTCTAATTAATGGCCAATCACAGTCAGCTGGCTCAGACTTTCTGTCCGAGACACAAGCCTTTGTTATCATTCCTTCTTTTTCTACTCTTAGTAAGCCTTCTGATGAAATCCTTTCTTCTATTCTTTTAGTATAGTTTTAATATATATCATAAAATAATAAATCAGCCTTCTGAAACATGGAGTCAGATCCTCGTCTCTTCCGTCATCCTCAGACCCCTGTGAACACTGTCACAACGTGCTGGCTAAATTATCCAGGGAAATTGTGGCACCAGATGCTGGCAGGCTCAAGGAGAGGTTGGATGGGGCTCTGAGCATCCTAGGGGAGGATGTCCCTGTCCATAGCAGGGAGATTTGAACTAGAAGATCTTTAAAGTGCCTTCCAACCCAAACCATTCTGTGAATTGTCTGTGCCCATGCAGAACAGAGCAAGGGAAGTGTAGACTTCACCTTGTTGTCCCTTCAGCTGCTGTGATTCAGTGAATATTTCTGCTTCTTCCTCAGGCTGGGATGAGGAGGGTCAGAGCCACCCCCAGAGTTTGTGCAACACATGTTCCTCTGGGTTCAGTCCCAGCCGCTCGTTTGTTTTGCATGTGGGCTGCTGCTATGCATTGCTGATTTTTTGCTTCCAGATGAAACATGCTGGCTTGTAGTAATTTAAGGTTTTAAAATCTCTTTAGTGGCAGTCATACAGTGCACTATCAGGGCTGTAACTGGGGTCAGTGTAGCTCTTCTAGCCCAAGTATTTTGCTGAGTCAAGTCTTATAAATTCCCTGCTGGATATTCCACAGGCAGGGCTCTGTTTACATCCTTTCATCCTGCTCATCTGTGAGCTGCAGCTTTGTAATCACAGGCATCCCTGGTGTGCCACTGATGCTGCTGATGTTTCATTTTTATGGGGTCTTTGACTTAAATTGAGCAGCTGAACTTCACCCCTTCTTGGTGAAGTAATTACCAGAATAAAAACCAATTTTTTTTGCAGATGACGCTGAAAGTTTTTGACATGTGTGCCCTTGCCATCCACATCAAGTGATGTATGTAGTGTTTGTCCTTTGTTTTGGCATTTTGATATGTGTGAGAGAGGTGAAATGGCTTTAAAAGCTTTTTGCTGGCGCCTGTGGTTTGTTGCAGACCCAGTGGTACAGCAGAACATGATAAATTGAATCCAGGCTGTTTCTTTACAGTTTGACATAGGGATGGTGATGTACAGGGCTGGGACATCTGCTAGTGCAAAACCACTGTGCTCATCACCTGTGGCCAAACCTGACACCCAAGGAACTAAACTGAATTACCCGGGCTGGAGGCTGATGATTATTTTCCCCCCCAGAAAATAATTATGTGGTACAGTAATATACTTCTTACTTAAGGGTAAAGAAGCTGTGAATGAGGATTACAGGCTATACATTAACCTGGTTCTTAGTAAATGCAATGAAGTTAGTGAGTACCATTATGTGTAATCTGATTATTTTAAAGAAAATACATAAATTGCAAATGAGGTGTTGGGGCCTTAGTGACCAACTATCCTTTCTTGGCTGGATCCCTGTTGTAGTACAGATGGAGAGTGCCTCTCTCAGAGCTGGTGGAATTCTGAATTCCTACCAAAGTTTATTAAAATCAGCTGGTGTCTTTCCTGTGCTGGAATTCATCCTGTGACAGAAATGAGGACCTAAATTGGAACCAAGTCTGTGTGATGTACATCCCTAGCAGGCCAGATCAATGTGTTAAATGGATGTAATATCCAAGCCCAAGTTCTGGTGGATTTCAGTTCCATTTCTTCTACAGAGAGGATGGGGAAGCAGAGCCATGGATACAGCTGTTCTTAACCACATTTTCCCTAGGCAATTTTTCCTGGTTGTGCCAATGATTTCTTTTTTGACTTTCTGTCCTTAGTTACTCCTGATGCCACTGGCTTTTGTCTGCAGTGGGAGCCTTCATTATCCTCCCTGCAGTCCTCTTTCACTTGATCAACAAGCTCTGCTGTGAAGAGAGAGCTGAGCTCCCATGCCTGGAACAATGAAGGTGAAGAAAACACTGCAAAGAAAAGTCCAGAGCTCATGAAGGCCTTGGTGAGTGTCACAGTATTTATTACACTGCCTTTGGTGTACAGTCTTCTGGGAGGACAGACACGGGCCCACTTGCTGTTTCTCAGGTTGTTTGTGTGGAAAACAGTAGGGTTTTGGGTAATAACCTCCCAAATTTGATCATGAGGGTATGCAATTACTGCCATGTTCCCATTATCCTTGTTGTCTGGAGCAATGTGTTGAAAAATGAAAGTCAACACTGGCGAAAGAAGCCCACCCCCTGCCCTGTCTGTTGTGGGAGTGTTTTGTTTATCCAGTGAGGAGCAAAATATGAGTGTTTCTGAGTAACAGTTGTGCCTTTCTGCTCACAGAGGATATGCCTGTCCTGGTTTCCTTGTAGTAGCTACTACATGCTCCTTCATGTGTTTGTTGTGTTCTGGAAATGTTATGTCTTGGGTAAACCCGTAAATCCTGGAGTCAAAACAGCTGGGAATTTTATTATGTTAGAAAAAGAACATTTTAATTTTTCTCAGCCATCAAAAATGCATCTGTTCTGCTAATGGTGGTCACTCTGAATTTGATAATTTCTCCCTGTATTTGCTTGTAATCTGCACATCAGAATTGTGCAATCACTGAGATAGCCAAGAGGAGGCCTCAGAAGTCTCCCAACTGAAGGTTCTGCTTCTCAATGGTTCAGTCTTAAATCCAATGGCAGAAGAACACAATCCCAAAACACAGAGCTCATACAAGGTTGCTTTGTTCGTTTTCCCTTGTGTCTCAGCCTGTCTGAGGACATGATCTGGCTGCACTTTGAGACTCCAGGGCTCATGGGCAGTTGAAAGCTTGGATGCCATCTGTGGTAGGAGCTCAGTGGGACTAATTCTTGCTCAATTAATTAGTGAGCCAGGGACAGGCACCAAAAAGGTACAAGTACAAATGGTACTTGAAATGAGTCCAGCCCACACCCCTCTCAACTGAAAGTCCTAACTTCAGTGTTTCTAAACAAAGACTATGGGGGGTTTTTTTATAAGTTTCCTTCATCAATATTACTTCTAAATCTTTTTCCCCTTCTCTTCGCCTCCCATCAAGTGGTGTAAAAATGTGGCTTTTATTTCAGTTTTTAAGATGACACATCTCCCAGGAGCGTGTGGGTGTTGACATTCTATGGAGCTGTCACAGGCTATCATGTAAACATGTATTTGCAATGCTTTTTAAAATGTGAATTATTAATAAACAGAGTGGCTTGCTTTTTTTTTTTTTTTTTGTGTTTGTTGCTTCCAGGTTTTGAAGGACAAGAAATTGCTTCCCAGCTGACACTCTTGATGGCAATTTCCATTTCAGACTAAATCTCATGTGTCTGAGTGATAAACCTTTGAAAACATGGGCTTATAATGGAAACACTAAGTCAACTTTAACTACAGCTGTGCAGTGCAAGAAAAAATACCACGTACCTTAATGAGGTGCTAAATCTGATAAGGCAGAGGAATGTGTTGTAATCATTAATTACAATGGAAGCTTAGAGCTGGAGTCTGCTTTTCCCCTTCAAATAAAATAGGCTTGGCGAGTTGGAGCTGAGAGTTATTTAAAAATATCACCTCTATATTTAGTTTAAATTTCACCGTGGTGTCTTGGTACTTGTAAAGTCAATATGGAATCTGTGTGTAGGAAATGCCAATGCTTTTAAAGGACAGCAGCATGAGGGAATATATTAAACCCTGGGCTAACTCAGTGTGTCATATGGCGAATGTAGAAACCTGGAGGCTGAGCCTGGGCAGGGAAGCCAGGGAAGGCTGTTTCCAGCACTCTGAGGGAGCTCTCCCAAGAGGAGTGTTGACAAGCAAGAGTTTGCTTCAGATTTGGAAATATGGCTTTGGTGGGTAGGAAGGAGCAGGATGGGGGAGCATTTGCAACATGCAGTTCATTGGTTAGCACTCACTTTTCCTCTTTTCAACTCTTTTCTTCTGAGCTGTGTATGTTGCAAGGAGATCCTGATTCCAAGGACTCTGGTGTTCTTTAACATGTAGCCCACTGATGGTTTCTCTTCCCAATTCTAAGCTCTCAAATTGTGGAAAGATTTTAGATTCACCACATTTGGAATTAAGAGTGCTTAAAACTTATCTATCTGCTTAAAACATATCTATCTAATTAGGAGAGAAGGCATTTTGCATGACTTTTTGTGACATCTGCTACAGGATGAACCCCCACATGCAATAGCACAGATGAATGAAGACTGTGGTCTGGGAAAGGGGTGCATGGGCTCAGTGCATGAGCTGCCCCTCTTGCCCTTGGATCCAGCTGAGTTTTGAGTTATCTACCAATGAAGGAGAGAGTTGGTAGAGATACATGAGGAAATCTGTCTACTTTGCAGGTGTGCAGGGTGACATTTAGAAAATCTACTGTAAAATGTCAGAGCCTCTTTTTTTGTTGTTGTTTTTGCTTTCCTGTATAGAGCCTGACCCCGGAACAAGGCAAGTGACAGAATGAAATAGATGCTCCCATCAACATGGCTCTAGGATACATCTGGCTGGTTTGTTACTGATTTAATTTTAATTGCACAGTTTGTGTCTCTATGGAGGGAGAAAGATAAGGAAAAGATCATTGTGAAAATGAAGACTTCATTGAAAACCTTTTAGGAGACTTTAGGACAAAGGCTCTTAATTACTGGGACAAAATGGATGGCAAATTTCTGGTACTTCAGACTTCTATGAATCCTGTTCTTGATTGGTTTGTTGATCTCAATGATGAATCCATCTCTGGAGCAGGGATGTGCTGCCTTGGTTTCTTCTCACTCAGCTGCAGGAATCCCTTCACTGGGAGGGCTGGAACTCATCTGGACACAGCCAACCTATATTTAGGATGCACTTGGCCCTGCTCAGAGCAGGCTGCAAGGGTAGAGAAGCTGGTAAGCACATACCTGGTAGGAAGGCAGCACCGGGCATATCAAGCTTGCTTGGCTATGCCCAAGCATGTGCAGAAGGAAGAGGGGGTGGCATGAAGCAGTCCTGGTCTTTCCACAGTGATGTAGATCCTTTATAGAGGTGAGGTGCAGAACTCCTTAGTGAGGGAAAAACTAACTGCCTTACCTTTAGAGTCATCTGGAGTGGTTATTCCCAGCTCTGGGGTCTTTCAGGCACTGGGAAAGGGTGTATGGGAAATTGCCCCTTGAATCATCTCTCCACACAAGGAAGGAGGAGCTTCCCTTGAGCAGAGGTTTGAGAAGAGTCAGTGAGGTTTCATGTGAGACCTTTTGGTGTGTAATGGTTTGGTGTCCCTGTGTGTAGTGTGGATTTTGGGACCAAGAGGAGGTGGTGATGTTCCTACACATGGTGTTTATAGAATTGGGGAGCCCTTTACTTCAAAGGTTCATGGGTGAAGTGAATTTCACAGGTGCCTGTGACAATCCTGGGAAAACCTTTGTGCAAAGAGCTGTAACCAACCACAGGCTTCAGTGCTGTGGCTCAAGAGAGTGAAGGTTCCTCTTTGTTCTACACGTTAATCTTTTCATAATGACGTCACCTGAGACTGGGAAAGAAATTGTAACTTAGTACATTGTGCTTTATATGAAAATATTCCAGTTGTGCCTTGCCTTGAACACTTGTTGAAGATGTACTCTTGATGTGTGAAAACAGCATAAATATGATGAGGTTGGAAGGTAGGTTTTTCTTTTTTTTTCATTTTTCCTTTTGTTTTATCAGCCTCAAGAGCATTTTCAGTCCATGTTCTCAAGCTGCTCTGCACAGCCACTGTTCCAGCCTCTAGGGCTGGCTGCACACTTAAAATAAATAAATGGAGATGCAGTTCTTATATAAACCACTTATCTCCCTTAGCCAAGGCTTTGAGGAAGGCATCAACACCTCAAGCACTCAGCCAGGGCTGGAATGTTAGCAGGGCTGCCTGGGTGCTGCCTTTCCTTGTCAGTGCTGCCTGGGGCCAGGCGGGCCCTGGGGACCTGTCATATGCAGTGAGTGGGACTGTCACATGCAGCAGAGGCAGAGATTCATGTTTAGAAATAAGAAACGTGGGTGAGTGTGACAGCACCAGTCTGGCTTCCTCCAAAGTTGTGGAAAACTCAGGGGTGTACTTCTCCAAAGAAACACAGCTGTGGTTGGTCCTTTTCTGATGCTGAGCACCCAGTAGCTCCCATCCTCAGCGTGGGCAGATTGAGAGTGAACCTGAGGTTGTTTCTGTCACCCAGCTGGGGTATGTAGCTCAGATTCCTTGACCAACCTGTGGCAGGAAGGAGAGAAGGTTGTGAAAAGGAAGTTTCTCAGTGCCCACATGAAGCTGCTCTTCTAAATTGATTTTCCTTTCAACTACTTCAACAGAGGCACATAGGAAGAGTGAGTGACCCATGGGACAGTGGGATTGCTGCTACTGAAGTTGGATGAGCCTGGTTGGCAACAAGTTGAATTAAATGGAGGATTAGAGTAGCTGAGGGAACAGTTCCTAAGTCAGTAGGGACAACTGCCTGCTCAGATCTGTGGCTCCAAATTCCTTTAAATCTGGGCTTTTCCCAGTGACCCCTCAGCCTCCCAGCGTTTCTGGCTGGACTGGTGGTTGACTTAGAAGTGAGGGGAGTTGGAAACTACAGACTCAGTGTCCTAGGGTGACGTTATGATGCTTGTATCCACATTCATGTGTTCTGTTTGTGCTGGATATTATGTTCTGTGCCTTCAAGACTGCCTCTGAAGAGTGAAAGCTTTGTTTGGGTTTCTTATCAGCCACTCCCCCATGGCTGTTGGGACACAGAGACAGGGCAGTACATGGTGCTGCTTTTGCTTTTTGCTTTGCTTCTGCTTGCTCTTGCTTCTGCTCATTAGTTAGTTTAGCTAAACAGTCCAAATTTCTTCCTGGAAAGTTTCTCCTTTCCCTTTTTTGGCACCACTCGAGCCTGCTCCGGGCTGGGCCCTGGCAAACCCCGAGAGTTTGCACCTTGTGGCCCAGCGGGGCCTACTCTGGGCAGCAGCTGCCCCAGCGCCGGAGGGACTGAGAACAGAGCCACCATCCCCAGAGAGACTTTCTGAATTTGTCATCTTTTTCAGAGT